ATTAAGGAATGAAGAGTGAAATCACTACAGATACTCTGAAAATTCAGATTATCAATACTTACAGAAGAAATGGACAGATTCCTAGATATGTATGAACTGCCAAAGCTGAAACAAGAAGATATAAAAATTCTGAATAACTCAATATGAGACTCAAAATGTAATTAAAAACTTATCACCAAAGAAAACCCCAGATTCTGAGGGATTCACTGCCAAATTCTACAAGAAATTTCGGGAAGATTTAATGCCAATACTCCTATAACTCTTTAATGAAATAGAAAGGAAAGTAATTTTTCCTAAGTCACTCCTAGAGGCAAGTATTACTCTTAATACCAAAACCAGAGAAAGATCTAATCCAAACAGAACTACAGGCCAATCTCCCTAATGAACATAGATGCAAAAATTCTCAGTAAGTTACTGGCAAATAGAATGCAGCAAAATCGTCAAGAAGATTATACTGTATGGCCAAGTGGGATTCATCCCAAGAATGCAGAGATGATTCAACATGTACAAATCAATAAATGTAATATATTATTATCGAGGCAAACACTAATATTACTGATCATCTCAATACATGCAGAAAAAGCTTTTGATAAAGTCCAGCACTCATTCATGTTAAAATTCCTATGGAGTCTGAATAGATGGTCTTTACTTAATCTGATAAAAGCCATCTATGAAGAGCCAAAAATCAACAATATACCAAATGGACAAATACAGCTTTGACTCTAAAGTCAAGAACAAGACAAGGACATCCACTATCACAACTCATACTCAATAAAGATCTGGAAACATTAGACAGGAAGTTAGATAAAAGAGAGAAATAAAAGGAATAAAGATAGGAAAAGAAGTTAAACTATCATTATTTTCAGATGACATGATACTCCACATAGAAGATGCCAAAAACTCCACCAAAAGATTACTAGAGTTATAACCAAATTCAGTTGTGTAGCTGGATACAAAATCAACTCAAACTTAGTAGCATTCCTGTACACAAACCACAAATTCACTGAGAGAAATAAAGAAAATCACACTCCTCACAATAGCATCAAAAGAAACGAAATACTTAAGAATCAATCTAATGAAGAATCTATATATTAAGTTACAGTACTGTGTAAAAGAAAATCAAAGAGGATATTACAAAATAGATATTCCTTGTTCATGGATAGGAAAAACATAGTGAAAATGGCCATATTCCCAAAATCGTTGCACAGAGTTAATGCAATCCTGATCAAAACACCATTAGCATACTTCACAGAACCAGAAAAGGAGCATTCCTAAAATTCATTTGGAAACCAGAGATTTAGAATAGCAAAATAATCCTGGAAATCAAAAGTAACACTGTGGGCATCTCAATCACAATCCCTACCTTTATATAACACTGCAGAGCCAGTGTGATAAAAATCAGCTGGTACTGGAAAAAAGAAAAGAAAAGAAAAGAGAAAACAGATCCGAGGACCAGTGGAACAGATTAGAAAATGCAGACACAACTGCAAACACACTCAACCACATCTTTGACAAATGGGCCAAACATGTTCACTGGAAGAAAGATAGCCTCTTTGATTAATGGTGCTGGAAAAACTAGCACCATTTTTCACATGCTGAAGACTAAAACTAGATCCATGCCTATCACCATGCATAAACTAAAGTCAAAATGGATCAATGATCTAAATATTAAAACAGAAACACTAAACTTAAAAAAGCAGTGAACATCGTAAATAAGTGTGCACATACACACACAAACATATCTATGCAATGTAAAATAAATCTTTAGGGGCTGGGGATTTAGCTCAGTGGCTCAAGCTCTTCCCTAGTAAGCACAAAGTTCTGAGTTTGATCCTCAGTACCAAAAAAAAAAAAAAAAAAAAAAAAAAAAAAAACCAAGTTCAATGTCATTTGAGGGATGCAAATTAAGCAACACTGAGAATCCATAGGAATCCACAAGAAATCATCCGATAACAAATGCTGGTGGGGCTTAGAACCCTTTTTCAGTGTGAGTAGGAGTACAGACTGGTGCAAGCATTGTAGAAATCAGTGTGGAGATTCCTTAAAAACCTAGGATTAGAGGTCCCATTTGATCCAGCTTTCCCTTTGTGGATAATTTCCCTAGAACTGAAAACATCATACCACAAAGATATATGTGCACCCATGTTTGTAACAGCACAATTTGTAACAGCTAAATTTTGGAAACAACCCAAATGCCCATCAAGGAATGGATAAAAAAGATGCAGTACTTTTATGCAAAGGAATAGTATTCAGCTATAAAGGATAAACTTGAGACATTTATAGGGAAATAGATACAACTTAGGATCATAATCATAAGTGAAATAAATTAGACTAATATGTGTAAACTTTATATTGTCTCCCTAGTATAAGAAGCTTAAAGAGTAAATAACATCCAAAATGTTCAACAGATACTGTGAAATGGGAAGAAACTGATCTATAGGGAAGAGAAACTGGGATGAAGGAAAGGAGAAAAAAAGGATATACATGCATATATATACACACATGCACACAAAGTAGTTAAGATTGCTACACTACCGATTGCTATTAGTTCACTGAAAAGGCTTGTATGTACGTTATTTGATCAGTTTCTCATGTTTATATCACATTAATACGAGCAACTCCTAAGAAGATAACAATACGCAGTGCTACTCTTCCACAATCTTGTTTTGAAATTTTGTATCATTGTATCTACTTTAAAATAAAAGTAATTTTGGTCACCTTAAAAATAGTAATCAATAAATAATCAGAGTCTAAGAGTTCCTCTAGATAATGTAAGAATCTTAGGGTTGTTTAATCCTTCCTTTCTCCTGAGAAATATGCCTAGTTTGTGGATAACAGGCTCACAAGAAATTACTTGTTTTTGTTTCTTTTTTTTCCCTCTCCTTTGTCTATCATTTACCTTCTGACAAACAGTCTTTGTGATTTTTCTCTGTTGAGATTTTTAATTTAAAAACTCTTGTGTTTTATTTTGAAGGGTATTTTTCATTGGATTTAGAATTCTGGATTGTAAGTTATGTTTTAGTACTGTCTTGTAGCTTTCACTGCTGTATTTGAGAAGTTAGCCAAATTGGTGTTGTTCTGAAGGTAACCTATTTGTCTTTTGGTTAATGTTAAAATTTTATTATTGGTTTTCTGCACTGTCAGTATGATGCCACTCAATGTAAAATTGTTTTTGTTTATTGTTATGATTTGAATACCACCACCAAAACTTACATTGAAATTTAATCGCTGCTGTGAGATAGTAAGAGGGCAGACAACTAATATGAGTACTGTATTTGGAGGAAGACTCTCTGAGAGGCAATTAACTTTAAATGAGGTCATGATGGTGGGGCTATAATCAAACCGGATCAGGGGTTTATGAGAAGAGTGCTCCATGTCCTGTGACACCCGGCAGAGGATTCTCACCGGCAAGAAGGACTGATATCTGCCCAGCCTTGAAATTCCAGTCTGTGGAATCAGGAAATGAATACTGCTCAGTCTGTGACAAAGAGTTACAGTCTTAAGTTTATTAGGCCTCTTGAATTTTTAACATCTCTTATACTTTATGGTAAATTCTTTGCCAAGATTTCTTCAAATATTTAACATTTCCCATTTCTATTCTTCTTCTGTGTGTCAGTCAGTGCTTACTAGAGAAACAGACTTAATGTAATGTGTATGAATATATAAGGTTTTACAAGACTGGCTTACAGTGGCTGCCCAGAGTCAGGTGTGGAAACACGCAGAGTATCTGTCTGTACATCACAGAGCAGAAAGATCCAGCTCAGGGCTGGAGCTCCATGTAGTGTCTCGCACGAGTCCACCTCAGGAGCCTACAGAGTCTGGGCTGGAAGCCAGGAGATGAGGTCCAAGGTGAAGGTGAAGCTCTGAGGAAAAAAAGCAGCCTTTCTTCGTTCCCCTTTACACCATTTAGGTAACAGGTCACCCTAAATTGGGTCTTCTGGTCCAGTATAAATTACCACCCAAACCCAGAGCTCTGATGATCCAAATGAGCTGGGTATTTCTTGTTCAAGTTGACACATTTGATTAACTATCACATTTTGTGACTCCAAAAACTATGAACATAATCTTTTACTTTATCCCTGTAACCACCACCCCTCCTCAGCTAAACTTAAGGCCTTCACATTGAGATACATGCCTAGCTCTTTAAAAAAATTTTTTTATTTCTCTCTTTTTGGGGGCACAGTCTGGGGACAGGCTCTCTAGGTGGAGCTGGGGCCTGGGACCCTCCTGTCAAGTATCTGACAGTGCTGGGAATTAGAGGCCTGTACCACCATGCTTGCGCCTTCTTGCTTTCTCTTCTGCACAATTTTTCTTTTTTCCTTTACATACCATTCTTGATTTACTTCCAATTTATTTTTTAGTTCATAGGTTATACAGATTCAACTACATCTACTCTCTGGTTAAAACGAACTATTAGGCATTTGATTCTGACTGGATTTTTCAGTTCAGTAAATTCCATTTTGAACCATCATTTAAGAACTGTCTATCTGAAGATCCGTGGCTGGCTCTTTGTGCTGCGTTTTGCTTACAGTGTCCTGTCTCCTAAAGTGGGTAGTCCCCTAAACATTATTTATAAGAGATGATTTTCTTCCTATGAAGCATGCCTTAAAATGTTTCTGTGCAAACAAGGGCATGATTTACCAGTATGCTCACTGTTTGTAGGGCTGGGACTCCCAACTTTTACTCCCCTTTCTTACATGAGTGCAGAAGTGGAGTTCAGTCTCACTTATCTTTTGCAGAATGCAATAAAAATGGGTTAGCTATGTAAGCATCTCTGCTAATACTTTAAAATCAAAGGAACTTGCAAAATACCTTTCACTGATGTAGATAATAGCTATGGAAGAGATAATGTAGCTGAAGTTGAAGATATCAAAATAATGCTCAGCACACCATTAGTAACACAAAGAACAGTTCTGAGAAAAATGACAAACAATATTAGAGAAAGACCTGAAAAAAAATCTACAGGATCAAAAACCAAAGAGATGCATTTATTTTCTTACCATTTTCTGCCAGTGGGGCAAGAACCTCAAAAATCATTTCTCTCTTATCATGCTCTACCTGTTTCTTGAAGAGTTTGACCAGCTCTTCAGCAATGTTTGTACTGGCAAACTGTTCTTTACTTGACTCTGCAAAACAAATGGAAAAAATTTAAAGTAAACAAAACTGAATCTTGAAATTTGTTTTCTACTACTTGTACAGTACTTGGTCATTCTGTACCACTGCTAAACACAAATGCTCAAATACAGAACAATCAAACTGATTTTTAATGTCCCTAAAAAAGAAAAATGTCTAACCTGTAGAGAAAATGTTCTGACCCAGTTATACTTCAGGCTATAGAAGCTGTCCATTAACACAACAAACATACAGACAACCATACAACCATATCAACAATGAAGTTACTAAGTCATAAACTCATTACTTTCAAAGTTTTTAGTCAAAGAAAAAATTTATAATAGATTGCATTTAAATGGCAAAAGGCCATCGCCATTTTATGTTTAGCACTGCTATGTTTCTGCAGTATTCTTCACAAAACTACTATTTTTTTGTGTGTTTTGTGATGCTGAAGATGAAACCCAGGACTTCGTGCATGCCAGGCAAGCACGCTACCACTGACCTACCCACCAGCCCCATGACTGCTATTTAAAGGGCAATTCTTCACAGATGTTTGAGTCCCTCCCATTCCCTTCTGCCTTTTTCAGCAGCTCCAAAATGGCTTCCATACTCTAGAAAAGCAGCATTTACACATGCTAATTTCTCACACAAATAAAATCAAAAGGAGTTCTGAGAGTGCAGTTCTGGAGTACATGCTTATTTAGTATGTGTAAGGCCATGAACAGTGATCCATAACAGAGCAAAAAGACCAAAAAACAAAAAATTCAACTTTCTTCCTTATCTTACTTCTGTCCTCAACTATTATTCAACCTCATTCACTGTTTCAAACATGTTTCTTAATAATACTGTCTACTTACACTGCCTCTATTTTCTCACTCATGTTCATTCTTAATTGCTAATGCTACTTTGTGCCAGGAAAAAAAAATCGTACAAATGTTAACAGAAATTTGTATGCTTTTCCAATAATATATACTAGCTTAAAGTGAAGAAAAACATTACAAATGCAATATAGTTCAGAAGCAGAGGCAGAAAAAGAAAAATGGGGCTCTAACATGTTAAGTTTCATGAATTCTGTCACATTAAAGCTGCTTTTATTTGGAACCTAGGAAGAAAATATCAGTGAGGAAGAAAATATCAATGCAGAGATGCTGTTTGATGGTATGGAAGCAAATATGATTGCCGCAGGTAGAATAAGGACCAAAGAGGTAAGAAAGCAAACTACTAGAACCCAAAGAGTAGAAATTTGTAGTGGTTTAGTGGAAAAGAAGAACCAATTACAGGAAAAGGTAAAAACTAGTTTCAATGTGTGCAGGCATATTTCTAGGCTAAGCTGTCTGCTTCCCTCTCATTCCCTATGACAGGCCAGCACTATGCCCTTTTCCTGTGCTGTATGCTGTGTGTGTTCCGTAGTGCTGGGAAAGGAAGGAAGGTCCTCAAGCATACCAGCCACATACTGTACCACAGAGCTACATCCCCAAGTTCTGTGTGCTGTTCTCTGTCCCCAAATGATTTTTGTCCAGTTAAAATTTCCATTATCTAGCTGGTTCTAATATTGTATTGTACTGATCTCCTCATAATATCATTCATTTAATAAATAAATGGAAAGTAATTTATATAAGGTAGATGGCTAAAAACTTTGTTTATATCAAAAAACGGTAATGTCTAAAAAGGACTGGTAAACAGAGCTGAACATCTGATAGAACTATAATGTAAATATTTCTACTTTTTTGTTTTTCGCTTTCAACAAACCTTTCCCCTTTTGCTCCCAAGACTAAGATGACTGGATTCAATATTGAAACACTTCTTTTACTTTTCCAATACCATGTTTACAATAATCTCAGAAATCTTCAAGGCCCAATATAAATGCTGATGAGAAAGCACAGGCTTTAAACTATAAACTCTTGGATATGTATTCTTTCAACAAAATACTTTCAAAAATTTAGCAAATTAAACATAATTGAGAGCCTAATTACTTTGTTTGAATAAGCCAAATGGTTTACTAAAACCCATAACTGACAAGCTACATATAATATACACATAGTAAAAATACTTACAGATACTAAAATGTGAACTTAAATTATTGAAGATACTTTGTGTAAGAATTAAAATTTTCCTTTTAAGATGATTAGAAATTTCTTTATATTTTCTATTTTAAGAAAACTGAGGGGCTGGAGGTTTAGCTCAGTGGGATAAGCGCCTGCCTTGCAAGCAGGCAGTCGTGAGTTCGATCCCCGGTACCGATAAAAAGGAAAAAGACAAAAAAAAAAAAAAAAAAAAAAAAAAAAAAAAAAAAACTGATTTTCAAGTGATTTTACCTTACAGGAATCTTATAAGGCTGTATGTTCCCAATACCAGACAATGATTTACCAAGTCATCCAATAAGCTTATAAAAACTATCAGAGTACACTGAAAGTAGTAGAGTGTATATACTGTTCAGTTTCAGGTGTGTTTTTATGGTTATTTAATTGCAGGCCACAGTACAAAAACCTTGGAAACATACTGCCCTAAGATGAGCAATTTGTAATATGAGTTTCTGTGATGCACTATTAGACAAATGCTAATGTTTTACACTTGCACGTCAATGTCTTACACAGCAAGTACCATATTGAGACTTGCATACTGAATGATTTGAGGATTCAAATGTGCAATTTATCTATGCAATTTCGATACATTAAGTACATTGTCTTTCATAAATTTCCATCCCAAAAAGAAGCTTCTGTACTATACCAACCTGAATTCATATTATTAAATAATTACCAGGTTGGATTAATGTAAGATGAGGCTTTATTTACTTTATTTACTAGGGCTGCTATAAAGGTAAGGTTTAAAACAGAACCAGTACCTTCTTTTATTAAAAAGTGCAGACTCTCTCAAGGACAACCTTTTTCCATTATTACTACAGCTCTTTGTACATTACTTCCCCAAGGATGTATAATGATCATTAAACCTTTTGCCTCAGTTCTCACTGGAGGAATGGAGAAAATGATTCATTGCCGTAGAGTGAAAAAACAATTTAAATCCCTTCCTGGGAGTTTTCAAAGTTCCTAAACCTGAAGCATTTATAAGATTTAGACACATATCACAAAAGGAGTAAAATGATGTAATGGTTGATACATTGTGTCAACTTGAGTTTAGAAATTTAACTAAGAGACTCAGTGGGGAACCAGGATCCTTACTTTGTAAAGATCCTCTCTGCCCGTGCAAGAAGAGGGCACAGAGGTGTTGTGAGTTATGACAAGGATGTGTTTCCAGCATTGGTCTGATTTCTGAGCAATGATCTGATTTCCATGTTCTAATTTTCAAGGATTTTTCTATTTTTGTTTTTTAGTGTGGTTATAAATGCATAAAAAAATTCACCTGTTGTTTTTCGGGATTTTGTGAAAAGGCAAAGAACCTCCTCATCTTATAAATAAATAATTTATGCAAGAATGTAATAAATTATAATGCCTTTTTCCACAATATACAACATAATTTCAAGTTATGCATCAGATAAACTATTAAAATATTTGAAATTAAAATATTCAAATTAAAATACTTGACTCTATTGAATAATGTACAGTGTAAACTTTAAAAAAAACTTTGATAGGTACTAGAGATTAAACCCAACACCTCAAAGAGTCTTGGCAAGAGCTCTACCAAAGAGGTACACACCCAAACCCCCTAAATTTTAAATCTTAATAAATGTTGAAGCAAGGCCATTCCAACTACAAATACAATCAGTAAGATCTAATTGGACCTACTTTTTTTTAAAATACTGAAGCAACATAATATAAGTAGATTCCAAGTTATTATATCAAGAAGCTATAAGTGTATTAATAAGTTAATACCATTTTTGGTTCAGGACCAGAACTTACCAAGTTCTGCTAAATTACCAAATGCAACCAGACACATTTCTGTGAGAGCAGCATTGTGGCAGTGGACACCCAGTAATGTCACTAAGGTAGGAATGACACCCATGTTGATAAGCTGAGATTGAAGGGAATCTGCAAGAAAAGAAAAAGAAAAGAAGAAAAGTATTCACAAATCAAACAGCAGTGTAAGAAGGAAACACCTGCTATCCTCTCTAGTACAAACTCAATGCTACCTTACTACAGTAGAAGAAAATGAAGTCCACTCATAATTGACTGGAACATTTAGAATACATTAGTTCAGGAGAGATTTGAATCTTTTCTATGACCAAAAGAAATTTAGAAATAAAAGTAGAGAATATGTTAAATCATTGTTTTTAATGGGGCCTTATATCTTTAATGATCAAGAATACATAATTAAATAGTGTCATTAGTTTTTAAATGAAACAGACAAAGTAACATTTACTTACAGGTGGTCATAAAATACATGAAAAGACTATGAAAAACAGCATATGAAGACTAAGAAAGAAAATAAAAATCTTAAGATCTTTTAAATATAGTTTTTTCATATTAAAAAATGAATAGTGTACGATACATAAAATGATTAATTCAGAGTATTTATAAGCAGGATGTTCTTTGATGACTGCCAGGAAGGAAATGTAGTTTAAGAAGGAAAAAAATGAGTTATCTAATTTTTTTCTTCTCAAAGTTTTATTTAGCTATAGGAGACAGATCAGCTCAGTAAAAGAGAGGGTTTGAGATAAAAGAGTAAGGTCATCATGACTTTGTCATCATTGCCTTCATTTTCTGAGCAACTAACTGGTGTCAAGGTACTGAATATGCCTTGGGTTTTGCACAACTGCGATTCAAGGGTAATTACAAGAAAATACCTGTAGCAAGGCTGAAGGCAACTTAACCAAAATGAAAACCAGAAGAGTTCAGCCTCTAAGAAGCTAACAAGACAGAAATGTGAATATTTATTATGTTCACACAAAACACTATTACTGTCAATACTGATCCATCCAAAGATATAGGAATAGTCTCTCAATTTTAATTCTTTTTCTCTTTAAAATTATATACAACGTTCAAATTACTAATTTTCTCCAATTTTTTTTCAAAGTTATTTATTTGGAATCTCAAGATAGAACTCTATTTCTTACAAAACACATTTCCTCCATAGCACAAATCCCTTTTTGGAGTTTGCTTTTTAATCTCTATTCACAGTTCTTCTTTTTTTTTTTTTTTTTTGTCTTTTTCGTTTTTATCGGTACCAGGGATCGAACTTGCGACTGCCTGCTTGCAAGGCAGGCGCTTACGCCGCTGAGCTAAATCCCCAGCCCCTATTCACAGTTCTTAACCTGTAGGTAAGGAGGAGATTCTTTATCAGAAAAGAACACAAAGACAGGGCTGAGCAATCTCAGGTGAGCGTTGATGACAAGCCTGATAGTCTTTGTTTTTAATTACTCCTGGCTGTTAAGAATGAGGTATGAAGAGACAGCCAGTAGAAGTTTACTGTCCCTGAAAACTGGTAAGTGGGTAATTACAGATAATTATCTGATTTGGTTATTGCAGGACATGTATACTACAAAGGGGCCTATTAACAAAACAATAATACAAAATAAACCTGAGAAAAAAGTAAAGTTACATTTAGAATTCAAATAGTCAAATAAAGCAATTTCAAATTTGGTAACAATTATGAAGTTGATTCTAACTGAAGTTACAAAGAATACATAGCTAAGAAATTTATTTTACTACAGTGATGCAATATTTTTTCTTCAATATACAATACAGCAATCAAATAAATCACATTACTGACAACCAAAATATTTGTTACAGGAGACAGTGTTACACCGGTATGTTATATTGGCAGAACACTTGTATTATGATTATAGTACTTAAAATGACCATGCACCAAGGAGCTTTCCAAATCAGGAACCATTATGATTACTTACCAGTAAATAGAATTCTTTATTAGTGGATCATCTCTACATATCCTTGTTCTTTAGCAATATTTTTATATATTCATTTTTGACTAGCTCATCAGTAACTGCAGAGCTGCTGAATCATTAGAAATGTCAGGTATGTAAGCGTGAGCACTAGCGCATGCATTGAGTGTGAGTCAAACTCTGCTCTCTGTCTGCATATATGTAAGCACCACCGCCCCCCGTTAGCACTGTTGGTACAAACTTCATAAAAATCCAACAGTTCAGGGACACTGGGAATACATTTAATGAAGCAGTTAACAGGAGAGTGCCACTTAGAAGATGCTCCTCATGGTTGCCTAACTTGGTATCTCTACCACCGTAACTTGGGCTGTTTTTAAAATATTACCAATTTTGATTCCAGAGAAAATGAGGACAAATTTTTCAGAAATGTTGCAGTGCTTAACAAAGTCTCTGGCATACAAATTGGACCAGTAACATTTGAAACTAGCAGATCAGGAGGAAAAGTAGCATAACCAAATGGCAAATGGTGTACACTGCCATATTCATGAAAATTGCGTTACTTTCTGAAAATGTGTGTTAAAACTATTTGGGAGCCAAATTAATTATATACTCACATAGAACACACATACCACACACAAGGGATCAATATTTAGTTGTCCAATTAGATAAACTTGTTTTGGACTAACTGGTTGCTTTCTTTTATATCGACTTCTATGACAGCAACATAACAATAAACTCTAAATTTGTTCATAGATAGCACAAAAAAATTCTCCCTGGAAAATAAGATCCAGACTAGAAAAAGATCTTCATCCAAACATGCTGATATAAATTTTTCTTTTTTTGTGGAATAAGAGGCATCCTAGAATATAGTTTTCAAAGTGAGACCCCTGAAATGCTTTCATCAGATCAGGAAGTCGAAATTCTCTGGACAGTGTAAAAGGATGGCAAAAGCCTGAACGAGACCAACACTGAACCATGCTAGCTACTGTATTCTTCATCACAAAATGAAATGCTATTCATAGCAATTGAAGAAAGTTTTCATAAATGTTTTACATTACTTATGCTAACATAATAGGTTTGTTAATTTAAAAGATTTACTCCTTTCAAAACTTTTCCAATTCATTTTCAGTATAGTAAATATCAGATATAACTATATACAAAAACAAAATTTCTCCAGTAGTAATTTTAAATGTCTTGAGACACTACAGAGACCAAAGTTTAATAATGACTGTTTAAAAGATTATCTAATTTTTTATGAGACATGATAAGGAGGGAAAGAGAACATGCAAAACACATTCTCTAGGTTCAAAGATGTGGTTGGCACGTACAATAGGGGGGAAAAAAAAGAAAAAAAGCATGATAGAATATCAGATTTTGGGGGCACAGATATTTTGAGAGAAATTACCTTAATAAAGCATCTAAACTTTTCATTTTGCTTATGTGAACAGAGTTCTACTTGAGCCAAATAGAATGCTCCAGATTTAGTTAGCTGCCAAGTTTAAGTTATAATTTAACATGTTACCATTAAGTAGTTTAAAATTTTTTAACTTAAGAAGGGATCCTATTTGTGTGGAATAAGTTAGTATTAATTCTTACCAATAAAAGCAAATAACTAGTTTAATCACAATTTTGTGAATGTTTTTTAAAGGATAACAACTGACATCCATTCTATTATGAATGAAATCAGGAATTTTTTTTAAAGAATATTATTTTTAAATGAAAGACTAACAGGAAGAAAGTCTTAGAACCAGAAATAGTTCTAAATAATCTAAACATACTGGAGAGAATACATGAAACAATTGCAAGACTAAGACTTTGGCATCCCTTAGCAAACATGAGGTAACTCCAGGATAATGTTTTTCAGAGCTCATAAACAGCAACTCACAAAAATGCACCCCCAGGCCCAATACAGCAAACATAAAATGTGGAAGACAGTATTTAGATAATGCTATGTTGTAAATGTCTGAAGACTTACAAAGCTGCTCCTGACACACATCACAAACACACACTGACCAAATACAGACGACAGTGGCCCTGCATGATCTATGGGAGGAAGAGAAGAAAGGCACTGAGGGGGTGCAATACAGAGGCATATATGAGAGAGATAAGGCAATCAACGCATGCGCTGGTGTGAACACTTACCTACCTACATTTGAATCTCAATGGTTCCAAGTTCTTCAGGTCACTCATGGAAACTCCAAAGAATGGAGATCTGGAGAGAAGATCTCAAGTTGAGGAACCTTTTTCCCCTGAGTTTTCAGTTCTATGTTTAAAACATTGGTACAGACTAGATTCTAGGTCCAGGAAAGTATGCTGAGAATTTGAACAACTCAACTGAAGTTATGTTGATCAATTATTAAAAGTAAGTTTCTTAAGATTACAGTATGTTTATTTATTCTTATGGTCCCGACAGCATTAAAAGATTATTAACCTTATCGATTTAAGAATGAAGCTGTGTCAAAACAAAACACAATTCAAAATACATTTTCTACAGTACATCATACATATGTATACTACTCATGGTGTACAGTTATGACATTGCTATTTACTGAATTTACTGAATCACATCTACAGCTAAATGAAACACTGAAAATAAGCAAATCTTAAGTCTTGATGAAAAATCGTTATCCAAATTGACTAAAAACATTTGAGCATTTTAAAGACTACCTCTGACTTAATGGAACATCTGTATTTGCGAAGAGGGGGTATAAAACTGAAAATCAGAAATAATCAGAAATCAGTGAGTTGGGACTTTGGACTTTAAACAAGTTTAGCTCTGTTATACCAAAAGGAAATTTTAAATGCAGGCACTGAGAGGGATGACCACTGCTAAAAACTAACCTATACACAAAGCCAGGCATGTTGGTGCACATCTGTAATTCCAGCACTGTGGTAGGTTGTCAAAAAGATTACAAGTTCCAGTGTCCCCCCCGCCAAAAAAAACCAAAAACAAACAAACAAAAAATAAAGCAGCTGGTGGTAGCTCAGTGCAAAGGTCCTGAGTTTATTCTTCACTCCACCAGGCACACAAATGTGCAGGTTGCTCTCCTTTTCAGTTTCTGATTACTGAGGTAATCTATAGGTTGATCAGGAAAGTAAAGTTTTATTCTGAACCTCATGTTTAGTACATAAAACAAGATTACTTACAGGTATTTATAATCAACTGTTTTTTATACACTTTAATAATAC